ACCAGTGACCACTATAGGGTCTGCTACCTCTTCCTTGTGGCCTATAGCCAAAACTCTTCCCACTCCACCTGCGTTCCCTGCCTTCGGGAAGTTCCTTTTGAAGTGACCCACCTCGCCACCTCCGTAGCAAGCCTGGCCCACACCAACGTCGGAAACTTGGGTGATTGGCCTAGCCGGAGACTTGCAGAAACGGACAGTGTGCCTCTTTCTGTTGTAGTTAGCGCACTACATTTCCCGAAAGGGTCCATTGTGGTGGAAGCTACACTTGTTGCACTTGGGCAAGCTTCCAGCATACTGTTTCATCGGCGCAGTGGCAACAGGTGCTATCGCGGCATGAACAGCCACGACCTGCTGCTTCTTGGCAGAGTTCTGCGCCGCGTTGCCTTTCTTTTTGTTGTACCAAAACTTCCGCTTGTTCTCGGCGGCTTTTGATGGTTCTGGGATGGCAAGGGTTGTTGTCATTGTCGGGGTGCGGACTCCGTTATCAATGAGCCGTTGTGCCAGTCGCTTGGCACTGTCGAAGGTAGTGGGGTTTGAAGATAAGACATTCCCCCTAGAATGAAGGCACCAGCCCCCAGATATACCTCTCGACTTTCTTTCCCTCAGTAGGGACCATTCCCGGACATAGCGCCACCAGATCGCTGAACCTGGCGGTGTAGGCAACTATGTCGGAGCCCTTAATGGTTAGGCTCCAAAGTTCTTGTTCAAGTTTCTGAACCTCGCCCCTCGGGCAGTACTCCTCAATCATGAGCTCCTTCAGAGCTTCCCAGCCCATAGCATTAGCCACTATTAGGGTTAGTGACTTGACATGGCTATTCCACCATGTCAGGGCTCTGTCTGCGAAGGTGCAGGCAGCAAATTTAACTTTGCTCCCTTCCGGACAGGAGCAGATCTCGAAGATCGACTCAGTCTTTTCGAACCATTACGAGAGGTCAATGATTCCTCCAGTCCCGTTAAAGATCCTGGGCTTGCAGTTGGTGAATTCCTTATACGAGCACTCTCTAGAGCGCACTAGAGCCTCATTTTGAGTGGAATGCACAGTTGTTCCACTCCCGCTAGTACCGGTGGTGTTGAATTGAGCTAGGGTTGTCGTAACAGCCGCAACCACTGCAGCTTGGATAGCTGCTAGCACTACTAGAAAAACAGCCTTTTAAGACGCGCAATGTGTGTCGTAAAACGCTCAGACGACGCGCAAATGCGTGTCAAGGAAGGCCCTGTCATAACGAGAGACGACACGTGTTTGCGCGTCGTTTATAGACGACGCGCATTTACGACGCTCATTTTATGACACGCAATGCGTATCAAGGAAGGCCCTGTCATAAAGGAAGACGACACGCATTTGCGTGTCGTAACCTTACGACGCGCGTTTAGGACACTCATTGCGTATCATTATAGCTCCTGTCATAAATGAAGATGACACGCATTTGTGTGTCATAAACTTCAACAACCATTTACAATATGCATATACGACGTGCTTTTACGATACTCTTTTACGCATAATACAAAAATATAGAAAAAATATATATATCAAAACAATCAATTTCATCCAATAACATCATGTCAAAAAAATTGTAATACATTGATATTAAAGGGATCTGATTGTACATTGTTATTAAGAGGTTTTCCCTAACTATATAACCTAATACTACATTGCTATAAAGGGGCACCTTCTTGTTTTAGTAACTCATCATTAAGCTGTCTAAAGAAGCTCTGAAACCCTTCATGTATTAAGAGGTTTTCCCTAACTATCCCAACTCTTGATCAAAAACAACACGGAAATCCTACACAATAATCATGTCAGTTGTACAATATCAATATCAACTAATTAATAATACACATGGTATGTATGAGAGTGGAATCAAAATGATCTACCAATAAGAGTTTTATACTGTGGGTGTTTTAGTCTCGTGTTGTCACACCCCCAAACCGGAATGGCGGAAACGTTCGGGGGCGGAGGACGTCATGCTCAGTATCATAACCATAGTGAAGAAAGTAAACACAACCATCATAAGTATAATTTAAAAGGTTACATCGTTGCAAAAATACATGTTTCCAAATAAATTACATATGATGTCAAAATAGTTCAAAAGAAATATGCGCCTTAGCGTCTTGCCTTCAAAACCTTGTGGTTACCTGTATTACTGAATACCTGAGAATACAAGTTGTTTTTGAAAGATTATCAGCATTAAAGCTGTTGAGTGCATAAGCAATTTATAAATGAAAAATGGATGTTGTTCCTTAAAGTTTGTTACAAGTTTGTTTCCAGAAAATCCAATATTTTCTAAAAGGTTTGTTGTAGTCTTAACTGAACCAAGACTTAGTATATATGTAAGTAACTCGTCATACTTATGTGTGGTTTTATATTTAAATAAAACTCCTTTTTGTGAAATCTTAAATCCCCGTGAACTATGTGTTTTGTTAATTCCCCATGTGAGTTATTATAACCATGCTAAAACTCGAAGACCTCGTACTCGACGTTCATCAGGAGTCGGAATGTTATGACATTTGTCACCACAGACCTGCCGGTCTAGCTGTTGCAAGCAGCTTAGGTGCGGGTTTGTCAGACCCAATATAGATCTATACACAACTATCACGCTCTCCCTACAAGAGATTCTGGTTATAACTACAGGACTTTTCGGTTGTACTTAAGAGTACCCTGAAGGTGAATGTCTCACAATTTTATTCATTAACAAGTTCACGGTTGTACTTAAGAGTACCCTGAAGGTGTTCACACTATACCTATTATAGTTTATCAGGAGTGTGTAATGATTTAATGAAACCTTGATGTGTATGAGTTTGTATTTCAATAAGAATGACATTAAAAATACTAATTGTAAATCTTACACACCTTGCTTAACATGTTACAAGGTGTGAATAACTCTTAAATCCGTTTTGACAGTTTTACCCTTAACTGTCACTGTTTTAGAGTATTTATAGAAAAATCATCGTAAGTCGAAAACTGAATCCGTAAACTCTGAGAGTTTGGAAAAAGAGTCTACTGTATTCATAAAGTTTCCTATAATTTTTGGTGGTCTCAAACCAATGTGAAAATGTTCATCTTCACAACCTGATCCGATTTTGTTGCTGCAGTGATAGTCAGTCTTGTAAAAATCACCATAAATTGTATAAAAATCGTATAGAGATGTGCAAGTAGTCATTTTAAAGGTATAAACCTGAACTACTTGCATATCGTACAGTTTTAAAAAATATTAAGTTTAAGTCGGGTAAAAAGTTCGTAAACAGGTCACAACTTTTCTGTTGTAAGCTGTCAAGTTAAGTTTTAAACAGGTTTTGGTGTTTTAACTTGTATTCCCCCCCCCCCCCCCCCTAAAAACTAAAGAAAACTGGAAAATGTAGGGGTATGAACTCACCTTGAGTGATTTTGTTGAAGAGTGGAAGGTCGAAGACGAGGAGTATCAAGTCAAGAACTCTTGATGAACACGTGAAGTGTTGGATGATCCTAAGAACGATTTTTGGTGTTAAAATGTGTGTAGATGATTCAAGGATGTTATGAAAACATGGAATAACACTTGAGTTTAGATGAAATACTTACCAAGAATTGAAGTAATAGCTCAAGAACACTTCCAAAAAGTGGCTGGAAGTAGAGAGAAAAGAAGCTTTCTTGAGGGGTAAGAGAAGTGTGTAAGTGAAGGAAATGATCAAGGAATTCAAGAAGTTACTCCAGTGGTTTCTTTATATAGATGTTGCTGGAGCAAGTTGCAAAGTTGAAAGGATGTTTGCCTTGGTTTGTGTGATGTGGATAGGGTTGTACAAATGAGAGGATGACACATGGAAGGCAAGTGGGCACACTTGACCCACTTGTGGTGTAAACATCCTTAGATATTTCTCTTAATGTAAAATAATGATTTATAATTAATTAATAAATCCTTGAGAAATGAATAAAATATGAGTTTAGGGAGTTTAAAATGATAAAAATATGAATTTGGTGAAAAATCCCCGTCAAAAACGGGCTTAACAGGCGAAAGTTGTCGAAAACCGGACATAAGGAGCGAACCTGCGAGGGGTTCGGTCCTTTGGAGATGAGGACCGAAAGTTGGAGAAGGAACCAAAGGGGAGGATCAGGCCCAAAGCTGACAGGACTGAAATGGACCGAAGGCTCGATTCGTTTTTGGTTGTAGGAGGTTTCGGTTCTGACTTCGGTCCACAAGAGGTTCGGTCCGAGGGGCTAAGTTCGGTCCTGAAGGGACCTTCGGCTCTATGTAGTTCGGTCCAACTAAGGAAGCTTCGGTCTTAGCAGGGTTCAGCTCTAAGAAGTTCGCCTCTAAGAGGGTTTGGTTCCTAAGAAGGGTTTCGGCCCTATTTAGCTGTTTTTCGATATAACTCCCCGATTCAAGCGGTTTTTGGCCAAGTTAAGGGTCGGGATGACCCGGATTACTATAAAAAGTTGAGAGAGATTTGGGAGAGATTTAATTTTAGCCATTATTATTGTATAATCTCGTAATGCAAGGTTCGTGAACCCCGTTATGCTTCGTTTATGATTGTTTTAAGTCCCCAAAGGGTCCATAGTCGTGTTTTGATGCGTTTAACTCCCTTCTCAGGGTTTCCCATTGATAAACACATAGATTCTCCGAGACACTTGAATTTTTGACATAAAAATGCACATTCTTATACATAGAATAAATTTTAACATACAAGTACTAGTTAAGTTGACCGGTTTGACTTGTTGACTTTGACTTTGACTTGTTGACTTTGACTTTGACTTGTTGACTTTGACTTGACTTTGACTTGAATTTGACTGTTGTCACACGGGTATCAAGTTCACTATTGGGGCATGTGTATATGTGTTGGTTAATACCCGGGCAGATAGATCGGGCAGTTGTGATTCATCAGTTCCACAAGTGGCAACTGGGCTGTGGCAAACTGGATACCACCTGATTATACACAATTAAAATCAAAATGAAATGCTAATTGGTGTCAATTTGAGAAAATGGTTATTAGAATATAAAGTAAGTGAATAAATTACTTGATGTGATGTTAGGTCATCGAGCAACAAGCATTCTTGTTAGGGTTTCAGGGAATACACTGCATATCATTCCAATACCACTATTACTTATGCTAGACTTGTAATTAACAGAAACCTATACAATCAGTGAATGAAAAAAAGATTGATACACTAATGGAGAGAGTGGTGGAGCATAGAATAAATACAGTCTTCATATAAATAAATGAGAAGAAAGTAAACACCTAATGATTATGTACAAAAGCACTCTTGCATTTCTATAAACAATCAAGAATATTATGACTTACAACATATAGATCGCCACCTGTCACAAGGTCTCCCTCACCTGGCACCAAACCATCAAATTATAAATAATAAATATCTTCATGAACATGAAAATGAAACCTTTGGGAAACTTTATAATTGTAAATCACCTAATCGTTTCGGTTGAAATTCCCAAAGGATGTCCTCGTCATGTGCTGGGACAGATACACCACGTGGGATGTACACATCATTTGATATTTTAGCAAAAGTCTTCATAGGCCTCTGAAGAAATGAGTTGATAAAAAGGTATATATGAGTGAAGTAAGAAGCTGTTAGAAAGATTAAAGATTTGTTGTGCAATAAGTGTAACAACTTTCAAATCATCAACAAGAGAAAACAAATATTACAAACCTGAATACCATGAAATATGTTCCTCAAGATTCCAAGGCCCAACTCTACTGACAGAGGCTGAAGGTAAGTGAAGAGGTTAATGTAATTGATTTCCAGATTATCAACATCTTAAAGCAAGTTACAATATGCAATAAATACCTTGTGTTTCCGTAAAACAGGATCATTCACAATCAATCCAGCTGTCTCTTCATAAACTGAAATACAATGGACACTTTATTCTCAATGTTTAGAAACATAAAGATCCTTCATGATGTGTATGCATGTGTGTTTGTGTGTACGTGTGTGAGAGAGAGAGAGAAGACCAAAATACCTTAGATTGTAGAAGAATCTCCTTCCAAATGAATAATCTCTCCAATAAGATTGGCACGTCCAACACGGACAAGTTCATATGTAGCAACACCAGCCATTCCATCTGCAGTGACAACTGGTCCTGATACCTGTCACATTGCAACCAACTTAAGATTAAGATTATCAGATACTCCTCAAAGCACATGACATGGACAATCTTTGCTCATGGTAATAGCATTGTTTTTTAAGTAAGAAGCACTGTGCATAAAGAACATAACCATGCCCATTCCTCATTTCATACTCTTCCAAAAATTAGATATGACAAGGAAAATACATGCAACTTGATACATCAAAGTTGATGAATGGGGTATCATTAATAAGGACATAAATAAGAGCAGAACAAATTAATTAGAATCATAAACACCAAATCTGTTACTCTAAGAATTCATTTTACCTGTATAATAATAATAATAGTTTCAGCATATAATATTTAGAATGAGTAATTGACAAATAATATACCTTGGATAGAGCTTGACTGATAACAGTTTTCCCACAGCCAAAGGCACCAGGAATGGCACATGTGCCACCAAGCACTGAAGGGAAAAGGGCATCAAGGACACGCTGACATAAAAATAAATAAAAAATATAAATTACAAAAACATGCAACCATATTAACAACAAGAAACAATTGATATTAACAATAGTCCTTGGAGTACGCACATGCCAAGTCTGCAAATAAAAGGTGCATCAAGTATAAAAAAGAACATGGCAACTTATATTAACAACAAGAACTTTGATCATTAGAAAAAAAAGAGAAAGAAAAATAAAGAAGGAAGAAATGGAATGGAATGACTCACTCCATTCCATTCCATTGCATATTCCAACTTTTACCTTGTTTTCTTATCATTATCAGTTGTATCTACAAAGAAGAACAAGTGAGGAGAAAGTTTAATTATATTTATAAAAAATAATCAGGAGTCTTGCGGGCTGTGTCTGGTTCAATCTGCTTTGGGGCGAGATCAAACTGAAGAAAATTGTGTTCCATGTTCTCTCCAACTTCCAGAATGGAAGCCATGTTTCCACATCTATAACAGTAGTTTGGTGCACTGAACACTGTCACCGCATTCTTATCCTAATAAATATCAGACAACAACTTATCAATAAGCCTAATCATTATCATTAAAGAGGGATAGAAGGAGGGAGGGGTAATTAAGTAAATAAACTCGGCACCAGTTGAAACTTATCAATAAGCCTAATCAGTGGCAGACCCTACAACACCATAACTGGCTTTTCCAACCACGTCTTGAACTTCATATCTTCCTGCCTCTCCATATTCGGTGAAGAACTCTCTTTCGAGCTGCATACAAGAAACAATTACTTGGTTTTGGTCAACATTAACAGTGTTTAGTAAACAGTAACTTTAATTTTAAAATTAAATTTCACATTCACAAATAAATAGATTTTACATCTTAAATGCGGTTGATTTAATATTCAAGATTCAAGGAATGGGGTTGATCTTACATTGTAAGGTGAAAAAGTTAATGTTTTCAAAACATAATGGTTGTTTTCACAAATGGGGTTGATTCAAGATTCAAGAAGTAGGGATTTTACATCTTACATCATCAATTATTGTTAGACATATGTTTAGATAGTATATTGATAGTGTTTATATTAGAGGGTATCTAAATGTAACTATCTAACATATATATAGGATTGTAATCTACGCTTCATAATATACAATTCATTACTCTTTACATGGTTTAACTTGGTATCAGAGCCAAGTAAACCCTACCTTACGGCTCTAAACCTTAACTGCAGAAAAGCCTCTTACGGCTTCATCATGTGCTCAACTCCAATCACTGGTGATCAACTGAAACTCGCATGGCTACTATTACTGCCTTCTCTATTGCAGAAAAGACATCACATAACTCCCATAAATTTGCTTTCACTCTCTCTCCCACCAACTATGGGTACTGGAAAGCAATGCTTGAACCCTTTCTCATCACCAACAATTTATTTGGTTATGTAGATGGCACGATACCCTGTCCAGCACAGAAAGTGGGAACTGGAGACGCAATCACGGATAACCCTAGTTATCCCCGGTGGATAGCCAATGATGAACATGTCCGGATGATTATCATATCCACCATCTCTGAAGCTTCGTTTCAACATGTCCAAGGAGCAACCTCTAGAGAACTGTGGCTAGCCCTTGAACGGGCATACTCACCAAATACCGCCTCTCGTGAATACACACTAAAAACCTAGCTTCTTAAAATTGCCATGAAAGGCGATGAATCTTCACAGGGCTCAAGAATATGCCACAACCCTTGCCAACATTGGTGAACCAATGAAGGATAAAGATCTTGTTATGCATGCAATATCGGGACTTCGGGAAGAATACAATGGTTTGAAGTCGACTCTCTTGGCTCGTCACCCACCAATCAGCTTCAACGAGTTACATGGTCTTCTAAGTGATCATGATTACATGATCAACAAACCCATTACAACTACCGTCACTGCATCACCACAGGTTTTTGCTACTTCTACTGGAAACACCATTCAAAGTCTTCAACAATTGGCATCTCAGTTAGGCTTTCAACTGAAACCTATCGCCTCCCAACAGCCTTCTCCACAAGCTTTCTATGCCTCACGTCCACCCAACAACAATCGAGGCAATCGTCGTGGCAACACCCGCAACAATAATTCTCGCAATCAATTTCAAAATCAAAATCAGGGGCGTGATAATAGTGGCAACAGTGGTTCTGGTTCTAGACAATTTTCATGGGCCTCTACTCAAAATACAGTTTATGGTCATTGTAATCATTGTGGTATCGGTCATCTACCCTCTCATTGTCCAAATCAGCAAAATTCTGCCCCAACACGACAACCTTCTCAGGCCAATTTTGCTGCCTTTTCTGATCACGACCCAAATTTAGGCGCAACCTGGTTTCCCGATATCGGTGCTAACACCCACACTACACCTGATCTGTCTAACCTTGATTTTTCAGAGACTTATCATGGCTCTGACTCTCTCCATGTTGGTAATGGTAAACCTCTTCCTATTTTTCACATTGGCTCTACCAAAATTTACTCTCCTCACAAAACTTTCACTCTTTCTAATATTCTTCATGTTCCGACAATTAAAAAGAATCTTATGTTTGTTCAACAATTTTGTCATGAAAATAATGTTTTGTTTGAATTCCATTCTTCTTTTTTTGTTGTGAAGGACGAAACAACTCGCAATACTCTTTTCACAGGTCCAAGTGATAATGGTCTCTATTCCATACGCCTTCCTCAACTCAAGTCTATTCCTAAGAAGCTCTGAAACCCTTCATGTATTAAGAGGTTTTCCCTAACTATCCCAACTCTTGATCAAAAACAACACGGAAATCCTACACAATAATCATGTCAGTTGTACAATATCAATATCAACTAATTAATAATACACATGGTATGTATGAGAGTGGAATCAAAATGATCTACCAATAAGAGTTTTATACTGTGGGTGTTTTAGTCTCGTGTTGTCACACCCCCAAACCGGAATGGCGGAAACGTTCGGGGTCGGAGGACGTCATGCTCAGTATCATAACCATAGTGAAGAAAGTAAACACAACCATCATAAGTATAATTTAAAAGGTTACATCGTTGCAAAAATACATGTTTCCAAATAAATTACATATGATGTCAAAATAGTTCAAAAGAAATATGCGCCTTAGCGTCTTGCCTTCAAAACCTTGTGGTTACCTGTATTACTGAATACCTGAGAATACAAGTTGTTTTTGAAAGATTATCAGCATTAAAGCTGTTGAGTGCATAAGCAATTTATAAATGAAAAATGGATGTTGTTCCTTAAAGTTTGTTACAAGTTTGTTTCCAGAAAATCCAATATTTTCTAAAAGGTTTGTTGTAGTCTTAACTGAACCAAGACTTAGTATATATGTAAGTAACTCGTCATACTTATGTGTGGTTTTATATTTAAATAAAACTCCTTTTTGTGAAATCTTAAATCCCCGTGAACTATGTGTTTTGTTAATTCCCCATGTGAGTTATTATAACCATGCTAAAACTCGAAGACCTCGTACTCGACGTTCATCAGGAGTCGGAATGTTATGACATTTGTCACCACAGACCTGCCGGTCTAGCTGTTGCAAGCAGCTTAGGTGCGGGTTGTCAGACCCAATATAGATCTATACACAACTATCACGCTCTCCCTACAAGAGATTCTGGTTATAACTACAGGACTTTTCGGTTGTACTTAAGAGTACCCTGAAGGTGAATGTCTCACAATTTTATTCATTAACAAGTTCACGGTTGTACTTAAGAGTACCCTGAAGGTGTTCACACTATACCTATTATAGTTTATCAGGAGTGTGTAATGATTTAATGAAACCTTGATGTGTATGAGTTTGTATTTCAATAAGAATGACATTAAAAATACTAATTGTAAATCTTACACACCTTGCTTAACATGTTACAAGGTGTGAATAACTCTTAAATCCGTTTTGACAGTTTTACCCTTAACTGTCACTGTTTTAGAGTATTTATAGAAAAATCATCGTAAGTCGAAAACTGAATCCGTAAACTCTGAGAGTTTGGAAAAAGAGTCTACTGTATTCATAAAGTTTCCTATAATTTTGGTGGTCTCAAACCAATGTGAAAATGTTCATCTTCACAACCTGATCCGATTTTGTTGCTGCAGTGATAGTCAGTCTTGTAAAAATCACCATAAATTGTATAAAAATCGTATAGAGATGTGCAAGTAGTCATTTTAAAGGTATAAACCTGAACTACTTGCATATCGTACAGTTTTAAAAAATATTAAGTTTAAGTCGGGTAAAAAGTTCGTAAACAGGTCACAACTTTTCTGTTGTAAGCTGTCAAGTTAAGTTTTAAACAGGTTTTGGTGTTTTAACTTGTATTCCCCCCCCCCCCCTAAAAACTAAAGAAAACTGGAAAATGTAGGGGTATGAACTCACCTTGAGTGATTTTGTTGAAGAGTGGAAGGTCGAAGACGAGGAGTATCAAGTCAAGAACTCTTGATGAACACGTGAAGTGTTGGATGATCCTAAGAACGATTTTTGGTGTTAAAATGTGTGTAGATGATTCAAGGATGTTATGAAAACATGGAATAACACTTGAGTTTAGATGAAATACTTACCAAGAATTGAAGTAATAGCTCAAGAACACTTCCAAAAAGTGGCTGGAAGTAGAGAGAAAAGAAGCTTTCTTGAGGGGTAAGAGAAGTGTGTAAGTGAAGGAAATGATCAAGGAATTCAAGAAGTTACTCCAGTGGTTTCTTTATATAGATGTTGCTGGAGCAAGTTGCAAAGTTGAAAGGATGTTTGCCTTGGTTTGTGTGATGTGGATAGGGTTGTACAAATGAGAGGATGACACATGGAAGGCAAGTGGGCACACTTGACCCACTTGTGGTGTAAACATCCTTAGATATTTCTCTTAATGTAAAATAATGATTTATAATTAATTAATAAATCCTTGAGAAATGAATAAAATATGAGTTTAGGGAGTTTAAAATGATAAAAATATGAATTTGGTGAAAAATCCCCGTCAAAAACGGGCTTAACAGGCGAAAGTTGTCGAAAACCGGACATAAGGAGCGAACCTGCAAGGGGTTCGGTCCTTTGGAGATGAGGACCGAAAGTGGGAGAAGGAACCAAAGGGGAGGATCAGGCCCAAAGCTGACAGGACTGAAATGGACCGAAGGCTCGATTCGTTTTTGGTTGTAGGAGGTTTCGGTTCTGACTTCGGTCCACAAGAGGTTCGGTCCGAGGGGCTAAGTTCGGTCCTGAAGGGACCTTCGGCTCTATGTAGTTCGGTCCAACTAAGGAAGCTTCGGTCTTAGCAGGGTTCAGCTCTAAGAAGTTCGCCTCTAAGAGGGTTTGGTTCCTAAGAAGGGTTTCGGCCCTATTTAGCTGTTTTTCGATATAACTCCCCGATTCAAGCGGTTTTTGGCCAAGTTAAGGGTCGGGATGACCCGGATTACTATAAAAAGTTGAGAGAGATTTGGGAGAGATTTAATTTTAGCCATTATTATTGTATAATCTCGTAATGCAAGGTTCGTGAACCCCGTTATGCTTCGTTTATGATTGTTTTAAGTCCCCAAAAGGGTCCATAGTCGTGTTTTGATGCGTTTAACTCCCTTCTCAGGGTTTCCCATTGATAAACACATAGATTCTCCGAGACACTTGAATTTTTGACATAAAAATGCACATTCTTATACATAGAATAAATTTTAACATACAAGTACTAGTTAAGTTTGACCGGTTTGACTTGTTGACTTTGACTTTGACTTGTTGACTTTGACTTTGACTTGTTGACTTTGACTTTGACTTTGACTTGAATTTGACTGTTGTCACACGGGTATCAAGTTCACTATTGGGGCATGTGTATATCTGTTGGTTAATACCCGGGCAGATAGATCGGGCAGTTGTGATTCATCAGTTCCACAAGTGGCAACTGGGCTGTGGCAAACTGGATACCACCTGATTATACACAATTAAAATCAAAATGAAATGCTAATTGGTGTCAATTTGAGAAAATGGTTATTAGAATATAAAGTAAGTGAATAAATTACTTGATGTGATGTTAGGTCATCGAGCAACAAGCATTCTTGTTAGGGTTTCAGGGAATACACTGCATATCATTCCAATACCACTATTACTTATGCTAGACTTGTAATTAACAGAAACCTATACAATCAGTGAATGAAAAAAAGATTGATACACTAATGGAGAGAGTGGTGGAGCATAGAATAAATACAGTCTTCATATAAATAAATGAGAAGAAAGTAAACACCTAATGATTATGTACAAAAGCACTCTTGCATTTCTATAAACAATCAAGAATTATGACTTACAACATATAGATCGCCACCTGTCACAAGGTCTCCCTCACCTGGCACCAAACCATCAAATTATAACTAATAAATATCTTCATGAACATGAAAATGAAACCTTTGGGAAACTTTATAATTGTAAATCACCTAATCGTTTCGGTTGAAATTCCCAAAGGATGTCCTCGTCATGTGCTGGGACAGATACACCACGTGGGATGTACACATCATTTGATATTTTAGCAAAAGTCTTCATAGGCCTCTGAAGAAATGAGTTGATAAAAAGGTATATATGAGTGAAGTAAGAAGCTGTTAGAAAGATTAAAGATTTGTTGTGCAATAAGTGTAACAACTTTCAAATCATCAACAAGAGAAAACAAATATTACAAACCTGAATACCATGAAATATGTTCCTCAAGATTCCAAGGCCCAACTCTACTGACAGAGGCTGAAGGTAAGTGAAGAGGTTAATGTAATTGATTTCCAGATTATCAACATCTTAAAGCAAGTTACAATATGCAATAAATACCTTGTGTTTCCGTAAAACAGGATCATTCACAATCAATCCAGCTGTCTCTTCATAAACTGAAATACAATGGACACTTTATTCTCAATGTTTAGAAACATAAAGATCCTTCATGATGTGTATGCATGTGTGTTTGTGTGTACGTGTGTGAGAGAGAGAGAGAAGACCAAAATACCTTAGATTGTAGAAGAATCTCCTTCCAAATGAATAATCTCTCCAATAAGATTGGCACGTCCAACACGGACAAGTTCATATGTAGCAACACCAGCCATTCCATCTGCAGTGACAACTGGTCCTGATACCTGTCACATTGCAACCAACTTAAGATTAAGATTATCAGATACTCCTCAAAGCACATGACATGGACAATCTTTGCTCATGGTAATAGCATTGTTTTTTAAGTAAGAAGCACTGTGCATAAAGAACATAACCATGCCCATTCCTCATTTCATACTCTTCCAAAAATTAGATATGACAAGGAAAATACATGCAACTTGATACATCAAAGTTGATGAATGGGGTATCATTAATAAGGACATAAATAAGAGCAGAACAAATTAAATAGAATCATAAACACCAAATCTGTTACTCTAAGAATTCATTTTACCTGTATAATAATAATAATAATAGTTTCAGCATATAATATTTAGAATGAGTAATTGACAAATAATATACCTTGGATAGAGCTTGACTGATAACAGTTTTCCCACAGCCAAAGGCACCAGGAATGGCACATGTGCCACCAAGCACTGAAGGGAAAAGGGCATCAAGGACACGCTGACATAAAAATAAATAAAAAATATAAATTACAAAAACATGCAACCATATTAACAACAAGAAACAATTGATATTAACAATAGTCCTTGGAGTACGCACATGCCAAGTCTGCAAATAAAAGGTGCATCAAGTATAAAAAAGAACATGGCAACTTATATTAACAACAAGAACTTTGATCATTAGAAAAAAAAGAGAAAGAAAAATAAAGAAGGAAGAAATGGAATGGAATGACTCACTCCATTCCATTCCATTGCATATTCCAACTTTTACCTTGTTTTCTTATCATTATCAGTTGTATCTACAAAGAAGAACAAGTGAGGAGAAAGTTTAATTATATTTATAAAAAATAATCAGGAGTCTTGCGGGCTGTGTCTGGTTCAATCTGCTTTGGGGCGAGATCAAACTGAAGAAAATTGTGTTCCATGTTCTCTCCAACTTCCAGAATGGAAGCCATGTTTCCACATCTATAACAGTAGTTTGGTGCACTGAACACTGTCACCGCATTCTTATCCTAATAAATATCAGACAACAACTTATCAATAAGCCTAATCATTATCATTAAAGAGGGATAGAAGGAGGGAGGGGTAATTAAGTAAATAAACTCGGCACCAGTTGAAACTTATCAATAAGCCTAATCAGTGGCAGACCCTACAACACCATAACTGGCTTTTCCAACCACGTCTTGAACTTCATATCTTCCTGCCTCTCCATATTCGGTGAAGAACTCTCTTTCGAGCTGCATACAAGAAACAATTACTTGGTTTTGGTCAACATTAACAGTGTTTAGTAAACAGTAACTTTAATTTTAAAATTAAATTTCACATTCACAAATAAATAGATTTTACATCTTAAATGCGGTTGATTTAATATTCAAGATTCAAGGAATGGGGTTGATCTTACATTCTAAGGTGAAAAAGTTAATGTTTTCAAAACATAATGGTTGTTTTCACAAATGGGGTTGATTCAAGATTCAAGAAGTAGGGATTTTACATCTTACATCATCAATTATTGTTAGACATATGTTTAGATAGTATATTGATAGTGTTTATATTAGAGGGTATCTAAATGTAACTATCTAACATATATATAGGATTGTAATCTACGCTTCATAATATACAATTCATTACTCTTTACATGGTTTAACTTGGTATCAGAGCCAAGTAAACCCTACCTTACGGCTCTAAACCCTAACTGCAGAAAAGCCTCTTACGGCTTCATCATGTGCTCAACTCCAATCACTGGTGATCAACTGAAACTCGCATGGCTACTATTACTGCCTTCTCTATTGCAGAAAAGACATCACATAACTCCCATAAATTTGCTTTCACTCTCTCTCCCACCAACTATGGGTACTGGAAAGCAATGCTTGAACCCTTTCTCATCACCAACAATTTATTTGGTTATGTAGATGGCACGATACCCTGTCCAGCACAGAAAGTGGGAACTGGAGACGCAATCACGGATAACCCTAGTTATCCCCGGTGGATAGCCAATGATGAACATGTCCGGATGATTATCATATCCACCATCTCTGAAGCTTCGTTTCAACATGTCCAAGGAGCAACCTCTAGAGAACTGTGGCTAGCCCTTGAACGGGCATACTCACCAAATACCGCCTCTCGTGAATACACACTAAAAACCTAGCTTCTTAAAATTGCCATGAAAGGCGATGAATCTTCACAGGGCTCAAGAATATGCCACAACCCTTGCCAACATTGGTGAACCAATGAAGGATAAAGATCTTGTTATGCATGCAATATCGGGACTTCGGGAAGAATACAATGGTTTGAAGTCGACTCTCTTGGCTCGTCACCCACCAATCAGCTTCAACGAGTTACATGGTCTTCTAAGTGATCATGATTACATGATCAACAAACCCATTACAACTACCGTCACTGCATCACCACAGGTTTTTGCTACTTCTACTGGAAACACCATTCAAAGTCTTCAACAATTGGCATCTCAGTTAGGCTTTCAACTGAAACCTATCGCCTCCCAACAGCCTTCTCCACAAGCTTTCTATGCCTCACGTCCACCCAACAACAATCGAGGCAATCGTCGTGGCAACACCCGCAACAATAATTCTCGCAATCAATTTCAAAATCAAAATCAGGGGCGTGATAATAGTGGCAACAGTGGTTCTGGTTCTAGACAATTTTCATGGGCCTCTACTCAAAATACAGTTTATGGTCATTGTAATCATTGTGGTATCGGTCATCTACCCTCTCATTGTCCAAATCAGCAAAATTCTGCCCCAACACGACAACCTTCTCAGGCCAATTTTGCTGCCTTTTCTGATCACGACCCAAATTTAGGCGCAACCTGGTTTCCCGATATCGGTGCTAACACCCACACTACACCTGATCTGTCTAACCTTGATTTTTCAGAGACTTATCATGGCTCTGACTCTCTCCATGTTGGTAATGGTAAACCTCTTCCTATTTTTCACATTGGCTCTACCAAAATTTACTCTCCTCACAAAACTTTCACTCTTTCTAATATTCTTCATGTTCCGACAATTAAAAAGAATCTTATGTTTGTTCAACAATTTTGTCATGAAAATAATGTTTTGTTTGAATTCCATTCTTCTTTTTTTGTTGTGAAGGACGAAACAACTCGCAATACTCTTCTCACAGGTCCAAGTGATAATGGTCTCTATTCCATACGCCTTCCTCAACTCAAGTCTATTCCTAAGATTGCTTTCACTACCACCAAAGCTTCCTCAACCATTTGGCATCAACGTCTTGGTCATCCACATCAACGTGTTTTTAGTTCTATTGTTTCTAGTTGTTCTTTACCAGTTTCTACAAAACAATATTCATCATTATGTTCATCTTTTCAATTGGGAAATCTTCCAAATTATCATTATCTAGTTCCAACTTTCAAAGCAATAATATTTTAGATTTGATATATTGTGATGTTTGGGGACCTGCACCCGTTTTATCTTCTGATGGTTATCGCTTCTTTATGTTATGTGTTGATCATCATACTCGTTATATGTGGTTTTACCCGTTAGCTCACAAATCCGATGTTTATTCCACCTTCAAAAACTTTGTCACGTTAGTTGAAAGACAGTTTAATTCCAAGCTCAAAACTGTTCAAACTGATTGGGGGGGTGAGTTTCGCAATCTATCTCCTTTTTTCACCTCTCTTGGAATTACCCATCGACGTTCATGTCCATACACTAGTGAGCAAAATGGCATTGTTGAGCGTCGCCATCGTCACGTTGTTGAAACTGGTCTAGCCCTTCTTGCACAAGCAAATCTTCCACAACGTTTTTGGCATTTTGCCTTTGAAACTTCTGTCTATCTCATTAATCATCTACCATCCCGTATCTCTTCAAACAAGTCACCTTTTCAGCATGTTTTCAATAGAAAACCCGATTACTCATTTCTTCGGGTTTTCGGTTGTCAATGCTTCCCACACCTCCGACCATATAACCGACACAAAATGGATTTTCGCTCCACTCCATGTGTCTTCATGGGATATAGTCCTCTTCATCACGGGTATCGATGCTTTGACCCTGTCACAGACCGCATTTACATTGTCCGTCATGTCCGCTTCAATGAAGAGGTCTTTCCTTTTCACTCTTCTTCACCATCACCATCCAACCCCAATACATCACCCATTTATGTCTCCACTTTTCCCACTCATGTTGCAAGCACACTAGAGCTATATCTCGAAGCACCCACTACCAATGAAAACGACACTCCTACACCTACATATCCTACCTCACCACCTCCGTCTCCACCACCCCCATCCTCACCCCCACCCCCCCCCCCCCCACGCTCTCGACCTTCTAACCTTCGCCAAAATCCTAAGCGTAAAACCCCTTATAGCCCCTCTGCATACACTGCCACTGTACCTTCCTCCCCTCTTACCGAAACCACTTCGTTTTCTGTTGCCAACAAGTTTCCAGAATGGCGTAAAGCGATGCTTGATGAATTCCAGGCACTTCAAAAAAATGGAACCTGGTTGCTTGTTCCTCCTTTGCACAGTTCCAATATAATTGAATGCAAATGGGTGTACAAATTAAAGAAAGATTCACAGGGAAAAGTTTCTCGCTACAAAGCACGACTTGTCGCTAAGGGGTTCAAACAACAACCGGGCGTTGACTACCACGAGAATTTTAGTCCGGTAATCAAAGCCACTACTATTCGAGTGATTCTTTCCCTAGCCGTGACAAACAAATGGCCCTTACGATAGTTGGATGTCCAAAACGCATTCTTGCACGGTGATCTCAATGAAACAGTTTATGTCCGACAGCCACCAGGTTTTGTTGATCCTCGCAAGCCCGATCATGTATGCCTTCTTCACAAATCTCTTTATGGAATCAAGCAAGTCCCACGAGCTTGGTTCACTCGACTGTCGACGGCTCTTCACCGTCTTGGATTTTTAGGATCCAAAACAGATCTCTCTCTCTTCATTCTCAAAACAGGCCGTGTTATTATTTATGTTCTTGTTTACGTGGATGATATTATTGTCACGGGTAATGACACTAAGGCTATCGATCAGATCATTCATCAACTGGGATCTACCTTTGCCATTAAAGATCTTGGCAAACTTCATTACTTCTTGGGTATTGAAGTTGTTCCCCATGGCCATGACATTCTTTTGTCCCAACGCAAGTATATTTTGGACATACTTCAACGCTCTGGTCTAACTGATTGTAAGCCGGTATCATCTCCCATGAGTACTACTCAGATCTTGACTCCCGATGATAGTCCATACCTCTCCAACCCTGTTGCCTATCGACAAACTGTTGGAGCACTTCAGTATGTTACACTTTCTAGACCTGACATTGCCTTTGCTGTCAATAAGGTATGTCAGTTCATGCATGCTCCCACTGAGACCCACTGGTCTGCTGTCAAAAGGATATTGCGCTATCTCAAAGGCACTGCTAATTTTGGCTTATTTCTTTGTCACAACTCGGACTCCTCTCTTCAAGCCTTCACTGATAGTTGCTGGCAACCTACTGATGGCTCAAAAATTACCGCCTTTTCTGATTCTGATTGGGCTGGCTGCCCGGTCGATCGGCGTTCCACAGGAGGGTTTGCTATCTATTTGGGGTCCAACTTGATCTCCTGGAATGCTCGCAAACAACGAACTGTTTCAAGGTCCTCTACGGAGTCCGAGTACAAGGCTCTTGCAGACACTGTTGCTGAGTTGCTTTTGCTAAGGGCTCTCCTACATGAACTGGGAGTTTCTACAAAATTCTCCCCCACGCTATGGTGTGACAACCTTGGAGCCATATATCTCTCTGCAAATCCGGTTTTTCATGCCCGAACAAAACATGTTGAAGTAGATTTTCATTTTGTTCGTGAACAAGTCGCCCGAGGTCAATTAAAAGTCCAATTTATATCTACCAATGATCAGATTGCTGATGTGTTCACTAAGCCTTTATCCTCTCAAAGATTTCTCTTTTTACGGTCCAAGCTGCAGGTCGTTCCCCGCCCTCAGCTTGCGGGGGAATGTTAGACATATGTTTAGATAGTCTATTGATAGTGTTTATATTAGAGGGTATCTAAATGTAACTATCTAACATATATATATAGGATTGTAATCTATGCTTCATAATATACAATTCATTACTCTTTACATGGTTTAACTATTATAAAGGCAAAAGGCACACAAGTAAACAAAGGGACATGAATCAAATTTATCTATGTGTTTGTAGGATTAGTCATAGCAAATGAACTACATTATCAAATTACGCAGCAAACTAAGGGATCAAGTGTAGGA